CCGCTGGCCGCCATGGCGCTGCGACACAACAACAACGACCTGCAGGCTGCGCTCAAAGACCTCACCTCGCTTAAGGACCACCCCCAGCTGGTATGTGCTCGCCGGGACAACTCGAGCCCTTACGTAATAACGAAGTACCTTCTAAAATGAAGTTGTGTTCCAGCTGTGCGAGATGCTGGGCCAAGTGGCGGAGGTCGACGAGGACTCGCCTTCTGAACCCGACAACAAGCTCATTGCTGAGGTATTATTAATGTAGATCGTGACATCTTTTCATCCGATTTACTCGACTGTAAGTGATTAGAGTCGAGGATATCGACGATGTTCCATTTACTGAAAAATTGCCCTGTTACATGCAACAGGACAAACTATGTCTCTTGAAAATAACCAATTAGGGAGCAGTAATTTGTGCAAATGTGCGTACCACTGACTACCTTTTTAACATACACATACATTTGAAAGCTGCCTACTAATTATTGTGGAGACGTTGAGTACAAAACGCTTAAACGAATGTAGTTTTAAATCAAGTTTACCGACCAACAGATACAATCTTTGATATTATGATTGCACTTATTGATGAATTTTAAATCTTGCCTGATTTATGTATTTTACGAAATTACTAATTCATTAATAATCGGTTTTGGACATCCCTAACAACTGGTGTCTATCACCTTGGTGACTTACAGCTGGAGGCCATGGGGTACTCCGGCGAGGTGGTGCGGCGCGCGCTGCAGGCGGGACACAACGAGCTGCACGCCGCGCTCGACCTGCTGCTGTCGGGGCACGCTGACACGTCGGGTGAGCACGCCGCGGCCGCGTCGCACTAACACGTCACACACGTCACACTTACACGTCACACTAACCACGTCACACTAACCACGTCACACTAACCACGTCACACTAACCACGTCACACTAACTACGTCACACTAACCACGTCACATTAACCACGTCACACTAACTACGTCAAACTAACACGTCACACTTACACGTCACACTAACCACGTCACATTAACACGTCAAACTAAACGTCACACTTACACGTCACACTAACCACGTCACACTAACCACGTCAGACTTTTCACGTCACGCTTCGACAATACTGTTCTGTTGCAGAGGAGGGCAACCCCTCCACCAGCACCGCGGAGACCTCACGCACAAAAATGAAGCAGGAATGGGAAAGGTACAACTTGTTCATTTAACTCCATTCGTGGGAAAGATAAGATCCGAAACTCATTAATTCGGGTATTTTCGTCCGTTCTGTGCAGGAAGAAGGAATGCGACCGCGCGCTGGAGCGGCTGTCCTCCGCCATCCGAGCTGACGAGGACGACTACCTCGACACCTCCCTCATGGAGGAGGAGCAGTACCTCGCGGAGTACAAGTCCCTTCTCTAAGTCGCCACCTCCACCTCGAACTGTTAATCTACTGTAAACAATTGTTTCTACTGGTAATACCATATGATATTGTGTATGTATGTTTATATGTCTTTTAACAATTTATATAGTAAGTGTGATCACTGTAAGCTGGTTCGCCACTTGTATTCAATAAGGTTTATCTCATTCAATGAGAATATTAAAACGTAGTTACTTCAAATAAATGTCTTAGAATAATAATTATATCGTTTTATTTCAATATAGTGATAACAATAAATCTGTTTTTACTTGCTATTGAAAACAATTTAATTGGATATTTCGAGGGCACATAAAAGAATATAAAATAACGTAATTAACTTGAATAGAGAGATAATAAAGATTGTATTATTTTGACAGTACAAGAAAACCGGTGACATTTTGTTTTATGAAAATTCACATTTTGTTCTCTATGGCCAAAAAACGTTGAAGTCCAAAAAAATCCAAAAAAGATTTTTTTATGACATCGAGTTGTTTTAAGCCAACGAATGTCTATTGATTGACCATAAACTCTAGAAACATGACATCGTTCTTGATATATTCGAACTTGTCCAAGCTGGTGTGCGGTATGAAAATGTACTGCTTCTTCATTTGCACCACGTTCATGTCCAGGTTCTCAGTAGACCGCGTCTTTTCCTCATTCGCTTCGTCGTAGTCGTGACGACTGGACGCGGACTTGCGTCGCAGTTGCAGTGATTTTACTATATCCATTGCCTGCGAATACATTCTAAGTTAGCTAATAGCCATGACAAGCCAAGTTGTATATCTAAAATTGATGAGGCCTTAGTGTCTGTATCTGGCTAAATAAATTAAAAAGTGTGTAGCTTACTTGGGGCCTGTTAGCTGGCTGGTCCCTAAGGACTATGCTGATGTTAAGGTCGCAGGGCCACTCGAGCAGCGGGTCGTATGGGCCTGCCACCAGCCGCACCGTGCAGTTGATATTGCGACCTTTCCATTTGCCGATACCGTTCAGATTTACTTCGGCCTGGAAACATGTAGGTGTTTACTACGCAATGATGTGACTTCTTAGGTTTTAAAGGATGTAATTTTTGGTCAATTTTACAACGAGTGTTCGTACTTTGAGGGTATATCCATATTTGCTGGTCCGAAAATGCGGGCTGGTCAGTACTGTGTCCCTCTCCTTAGCATCTTTCATTCTGGAAGTAAAGTTGTCTATCCTCCATATAAAGTGACCTGCAATGCAATAACTTTGCTCGATAAAAATAATTACCGTTTTAACTGTATAACTGCAGATTTACAATGAAGTGTATCTTGCTCGAAGGACCATGTTTTAATAAGAGTTGATCCCTTGATAGCAAAAAATATTTTCATTTAAAATAAACTAATTTTCACCCTATTCTGATAGGAGTAATTTTACGTACCATCGTCACTGCCAAGTTCTGGATTACTAAAGTTAATCCTAGCCTGGAAGTCCACGATCTCGCTACGTATCTTGTGGTAGGACTTGGTGAGCGCGCGCAGGTCTCTGGAGATGGTGTCCATCCTGCCGGAGTGCTCCGCGGCTTCGGCTCTCGCGTCTGCCGTCGCCACCTCCAGTACTGCAACTCTGTCTAAAGCCTGAAATTTAATTTTATAACATTGTAAAAATATTAGACGAAAAATTAAAGTATTCTTGGTAATAAGACACTATTACAATATTGATATGATAATTTCTGTAAGATTACCGGTCTCTCATTGACGGTGGTCTCCAGCTGTGTTCTAAGACTGGCCAGGTGTGCCAGTTGCTGTGAGGCACGTCGCGCCTCCGCCAGCTCGCCCTCCAGCACCGCACGGCTCTCCGCGTTCCGTTCTCTGTCCTCTTCTATTGTACGCTTTATGTATTCCATCACATCTTCTAAAAATACACAAAAGCAATAGAATAACTCACTCGTATTCCAAGTCTTACATAGATACTGGATAAAAGTTATTTTTAGTGGGAAAAAAAATAATTGTCACTGCACTGGTATCCTGTATGGTCTAGTGCCAAGGTCAAAGCCATATCTGGTTTTCACTTCGGAGGAAACATTTTTTTTTAAATATAAATAATTCACTTAAAACAAGTGTTACCAGATTTCACCGTATCATAAATTGGTGTTATAGGATAAAATATTATACGATACCCAGTCGTCCGATTGCTCGTATCCTGTTGTCGTGCTGAGTCATCGCCTGCTCCAGGAGCTCTCGCTCGTTCTGCTCGTGCACGATGCTGCTCACCGCACTCTCCACACGCATCGCCGTACTCAGCTGCTGACTCTGCAACTCCTTTACACACGCCACACAAAAAAAAACGGTATTGTCAATTAATCCCCAAAACGCGCTCCTAAGTCAGTATGATAAAAGACGCTTTCATACCTGCAAAGCTAGCTGCACATTTGACAGATCATGTCTGAACTGTGCGACCCAGTCGGCAGCGCGCGCGGCCTCAGCGTCAACCGCGGCTCGCAGCGCGCCGATCGCCGAAACCACGTGCTGTCCGCGCTCCTCCACCAGCACCAGCTTGGTGCGTAGCGTCTCCAGCTCCGTAGAGAATACATCGCGTTGGCTCGACTCCGCACTCAGCACTATTCTGATAAACAAAGAACATTTGGTACTGGCCTAACTATCCTTGGTAGGTTTTTAAAATGCTAGAGGACGAATAGAATTCTTGCTCTATACTATACAACGACTACACAAAAGATCATCGATGTCATTCCGCGCTTCGTATATGTGACGTAAGCCAATTCTAAATACTTTTCTGGTAAACAATGGAAAATGAATTTGGCGGGAAATATTTTTTCCTGATTACATCCATCCCTCTTTTCATAGAAGAGGATCGTTCTTTTAAAGTCCTTTAGAGGGGAATATGGTCATTTTGAAAAACAGTTATAGGACTACTTACTTGATACCAGCTACTTCTTTCTCGAGATATGTGACACACTCGTCTAGCGGACTGTGTCGGGGCGTCCACGTGTGGTTGCTGGCGGGCACAGCAGGTGGCGACGGCTCCGACACACGCACGTGCGTCGGAGATGATGAGTTACGAGCCTGAAATAATAATTTGTTATGTTATAAAAAGGTTTTATTTTAACTAGTTACATTAATCAGTAACTTTAAATTTTTAAATCCTAATAAAATAACAAACGTAATTTAGTTTTGAAAGTAAAAAGGTAAACCGAAGCTTAAAATTATATCTAAAAAACTTGAAGCGTGTCTCGCCATTCGTGCTAAATATAGAAAGATCTTGCATAATTACCGGTTAAAGATTCTCAGAATTATCGGACATCGGACTTGCAAGATGTTTTAAAATTTTTGTATTTCCTTTAGGGTCAACATGCCCGGCGGAGTTAAAAACAAACCAAGAGCAGTCTCTTGTCAATGGCAACAGACAGACATTTTTCGTTGCTTTATGACTTTTTAATTACATTTTCGAAATTGCAATACCCCACAGCTGTTTGCAATAATAGTATTTCTAAGAAAAGTTTGCTGGATTTGAATACACTATTAATCATTTATCTTGTTTATTTAAAGATAAAAGCTTACTTCTCCGTATTCAAAAACATAAACAGGAATATATATTTTTCTGACTTGTACAGTACTTTGTGCCCTACAGTACGAAATATCGTTAACTAGCTTTCGCCTGCAAATCCGGCCGCGTGAATAAAAAAAATAACACAACCTTCTGCGCACCGGGTTTTCGTAATCCAAAAAACTTTACATGCGTCATCTCAGTCATCACTCCCTTCTTGATCATGTCACCTTTCACACAATCCATACATATCTTTCTAGGTCTACCTCTACCGGTGTACTAAACTTATTACTGACATGAAAGTATTATAGCAAATACCTTCTCCATCTGGGGACACTCATTGACGTGGACCTGCTTGTGTTTGCGTTGTATCCAGGCGCCGCAGCGCAGCGGGCACTGCTCCAGGATGCTGCCGCACTGCTTCAGGTGGTTCTGTACACAACGAACTGTCATCATCACTGACAGGTACATTTATAATAGTGCGGGTTATACTCTGTAAGTTTATAGACATGACCTATATCTTTTCAATGGCATTTTTTTTAACCTTGCAGAATCTGTAATCAGCTTCTAAAATTATATAATATTTGTAGATCGGCGCAGTATTCAATATCGTAATATGGTACTTCGTTATCTTGACAACGGGAGTGTTTTGTGGAATTAAGTTGTTTTATCTCCGTTGCCATAACGTTGTTTTTTTGCTCGAATATTCACGTATCGACGATTCCAAACGCCCATACCTCGCTATAAGGACGGTGTTTTATTGTCCATATATTGTTTGGACGCGAGCTTTCGATTCCAACAACACGACGCAAGGATTTAATAAAGAAAACAAAACCTAATAAAAGGTATATTTTAGTTGAAACTTACGAGTTCAAAGAAAACTTGAATTTAAATTAAAAAACTAAATATTTGCGATTCATGTTTCTCAATTCTCTTGAACTTGATGCCTTTGTATTTGTTATTAGAAAATAAAAGCGGCAGTGATTGCCTTATCCAATAACATACTATAGGTAATGAGTAAGATTGTTTACGTTTAGAGTGGGCGCACACCTTTGACTAAACTATCCCACAACAGTTGTGCGATTTTCTATTGACCATTGTTTCGCAACCAATTCAAGTCACAGGAATCAAATAGCGACTAATCAGTTGTACGATAGTTTAGTAAAAGATGTGTGCGTTCTTATAATGACATCACTGAAGAGATTTTTTTTTTATTATATAAGGTGGCAAACGAACAAGCGACCACCTTAATCCACCGAAATGGCAAGCGACCGCTGCCCATAAACATCCGCAATTGCAGATGCGTTGCCTACCCTTAGTTGACGGAGGAGGAGACGCACATAAAGAGGACATTTCCCCTTCGTATGCGACCCCTCCACCGTCAAATCCATTTTTCTTTCCCATTCTTTTCTTTTAAGAAAAGGGTGGAAAGGGAGAGGGACTAAAATTAGGCCTCCGGCACCACACTTATCAGTCGAAACGCGGAATTGCTCCCACTTCACGCTTGTTTTTTGTGTGGTCGTGGTATTACACCGGGCGAGCCGGCCCATTCGTGGGAAGATGTTAAAGCGGACTCTACCACTGTTAAATAATACTTTTAGATCGGTCTGTAGGCCTAAAACTGATGCACTGATTGTATATAGAGTGAGATAAGGAGAGTGAGACGATGCGTGTAACTTAAAACAATTGGACTAACCTGTAGTTTGCCCATCTCGAACATATCATTGCAGAAGTAGCAGGGACTCTCCTTGCCGATAGTGCCACCCTCTTGCCGGTCCACCTTCAACTTGTCCAAACTCATTGTACTAATACCACTAGGTGTTTGAGTACTACTAGTAGTGTACCGCGTTATCTCACCCCACACCGTTGTTAGTCATTTGCCTAGGAGTTATTTTAGTTAGTTTTTAGAAAGTTTGGTTGTGAACTAGTTACTTGTTGAATTATTATTGTTCGTTACATTTATAAATTGTTAGATGATAAAAAACAATTTAGTTAAATATTTTAAAATAAAAAAATGAAATAGATGATGTGGATGAAAGAAAAAATGCTTGTTTATTAGTACAAGCTTTCCGTAAATGTTTTGATGTATAGACGTAAAGCAATTAAAGCCATCTGGTATTTCCAAATTACTTCTATCTCTTAACTTACATCAAAGAATTATCTCTACTTATGATATTTCCATCAACAACTGCGTCATAGCTTGCAACACATTGTAACATAAAAAATTAAGCACTTAAAGCCAACGTTTGACGCAAAACATTTAATTAACGAAAAACTCACAAAATTAACTAAATAAAAACACAACTGTTAACTTAATTTGCTAACAAAATCACAGCGACGTGCACAGAGTCGCAATATCAAGTGACACATATGGTCTTATCAATCGCTATCTGATACGGGGCGTTTGGCGATACGACAGGGCGTGCCATTCTATTGCTTTATTGTCCTATTATAGGTCAAGGTATTAGATTTGGGCCCTAGATATTTTTAAAATCATCTATACTATTATAATAAAGCGTAAACACACACTTCTTTGTTGCCTAAGATGTCAGCAATTACAGCATGATTTTGAATAGTTCTTTTTTTAATAGAACGCCCTACATTTACGTCACGCTTTAGCCTATATATTTCCACGCCATTAAATTTAGGGGGTAAATATTTTGGATTAAAATCCTAATGTGGGAAAGAGACCATAAGTTGCTGCCAACATCAAAAAAGCAAGATTGCTAAGGTTTGTCATGTCATTTTAACATTTGCTATTGATAAACAATAAAATAAAATTATCATAATTTCATGCGGATGAAGCCGCACGGCGACAGCTAGTATGTGATAAGTTTGCTTTTAAACATTTGGTGTTTTGTTTTATTTTTAATCGAAATAAAAGGGAACAGTTAACATTTAACTATACAATACAAAATTAATGTTCCAATAAGACATTTGTAAGATGTACAAAAATGTAATAAAAAAGTGTACTTAGTTGAGATGATTTTTTAAAGAAGATCGCGTTACTGTCGGGTGTTTGACCTTGAGTTAATTAGTAATTCGTTTCGGTGGATTGTTTTAGATTACAGAAGTATGTATATCCCGCGCTAATTGTCCGTCACATCAAAACAAAGGTGAAGACGTCATAGTTACGTATAATACCATAATCTCTTTACATAGTAAAATAACAAAGCGTAATTTACTTAAACATGTTATATCGCTGATTTTTTAATCTGCACTGATTCTCGATTTTGATATTTTCTCATATGATTATTTATTTTACGGGTAATATTTACTAATATTACTAGTCGTTGCCACTAAAAAATAGACGTTAGTTAAGCTCTCATAAGTCGTTATTATATCATAATTCATACTAATATTATAAATACGAAAGTTTAGTTGGATGGATGTTTGTTAGAGTTTGTAGCATAAACGCCTGAATAGATTTCGATGAAATTTGGTATATATGAAGAGGATAGTCTGGAAGAACACATAGGCTACTCACTTTTGTTTTTTAATTCCACGCGGACGGAGTCGTGGGCGTAAGATAGTAATATAAATGCTTGAGTTTAGATAGATGGATATTTGTAACTACGTATTTTTAGAACGGCTCAATAGATGTCGCTGTTTGGCATAGAACATAGTTTAGAACATACTATTTTTTTCTTTCTACTAAGACAGAGTCTCACGTTACCAATAATTATTTAGTTTTCATTCTTTAGAATAAAATTTATTAAAATGATCACTTTAAGTCTATTTAAATGAAAATAACGTCAGTATTTAATACATATCAGATACAAGTACATAACAATTAAAACGATGTAAACTGGGCAATCGAATCTATTTAACTAACAATTAATTACATAGTCATATAACACCTAAATAAACACATAGAATGCGTAAAACAATAGTTTGAGGTCATGAATATTGAACGTCTTACTGCTTACTTCACGCTTACTTGAGCAGCGTCTCTTCCGGAAACTGAGCAGTTAATTGTCATAAACCATGTAATTACTTGTTAAATTAAAAAATAACACGTGAAATACTACCCAGCTATGTGATAGACAGGTGTAGGCAGAAATAACGAATTAAGAGCCATCAATATATTCTTATGCACATTTGTCTTTTCTTTTAAGGTGGCAAACGAGTAAACGCAAAATAAAAAAGCGCGTAATTAAAGAAGCGACTGCAGCTTGTAGACATCTGAAACTGCAGATGCGTTTTCATTGTCTATCTTTAACTAAACTATCGCACAACTGACGTGCGATTGTCGATTGTTTCGCAGCCCATTCAACTGTTTAGTTGCACAACTAAAAGAGTAGTGTGTGCACCTCCATATAAGCTAATAGGAATCAAAGCGAGACTAAACAGTTGTGCGATATTTTAGACAAAAGGTGCGTGCACTCTTAATCGACGGAGGAGGCATAAAAAGAGGATGTTTCCCTTTCTCAGGCGTCTTCTCCTCCGCGATATCCAATTCACCTTCACATCCTTTCGTAATAAAAAATGGTACAGAAGGGAGAGAACACTTAAGTTTTGGCTTTGGCTTACTAACTATATAGTTACTATTTAGCCCTACAATAAAACAAGGAAGGCTTAGTACGAAAAAATACATGAAAAAGGAACTAGTTATCTACGAATATTTTATTAACAAATACCTGTGGCCTACATTATACAGAAAATATGACTAAAATAAAACATAATTTATTTACATTTATTTCATTACCAGTTGTTATGTACACATTTACAGCTTGATACATGATATAAAATGTAACGCCTGTGCTTGTATGACTTCGTACGAAAGTTCAATCGACTACTTCGTTGATTATTCTTCCGTGTAACAATAACAAGTATATCATTGCCAGAAACCAGTTCGAAACTAAATGTGATAAATATTCAAATTCACGAATAGGAAAGAATAAATAACTTGTTTTCAGTCAATTTCTTGTAACAGTTTATATTCAAATGCACTTATTATATACTAGCTTTTGCCCGCGAGTTTTGCCCTCCTTCCGAGTGGCATTAAAAAAACAAAATGAGTAGATTACGCGTCCTTCCAAACTATCCTCTACATCTATACCAAATTTCATCGAAATCCGTTCAGCAGTTTAGGTTACAAACTCTAACAATCATCTATTCAAAACTATCGGATTTACAATATTATAGTATGATGAACTTTGTTTGCCAAAATAATTTCGTCTTATCAAAAAAATATCCTACAAGTTAATTTTCTCATTCTAACGAAAAATAACTGGTTTACCGTATTTACAAGATGCGTTAACATAATAATTATTTTTTACGCAATAGAGCTGGGTCACCGAGTTGAAGGTCGAGTCCCTGGCCCCATTAGAACCAGCTCACCTCAGCATTTCGCTGGAGTCAATGGAATTATTCAACGCACTGCGGACCTATTAATATATGTGCATATTTTATTAAATTTTTGTCATATTAAGTTAAATAGTACAATTAAATAATAAAGATTAAAATGGTTGCATCCTTATTGGAATATTTTGGTCGACTAATAGAAGTTTACGTCTGCGGTATATTGAAACCACATATAGAGTAAATGGCTCGATAGATAGAAAAATCTGTATTTAAGATTTCAAATACGGGGTTAATTGGATTTGCAAAATAAATATAATATAACTAACTTTTTCTATGTAGATACACACATCGCATTCTGGTTTATCGCCTATTTGTAATATCAGAAGAGAAAGTCCAGAATTCGGGAAGATGTATTTGCGTTTCTATTTTCTATCTGTCCTCAAGTCGCGTTTGTTCCGGGTAATCTCCGAAACGGCTGGACTGATTTCGACCGGTATTTCACTGAAGGGTAGCTGATATAGACGGACATATTATAGGTTACTTTTTTATCTGAATATTGCGCGGACGAAGTCGATCGCAACAGCTCGTTCCGTATAAACTGTTCAATCAATTCAATTTAAAAAATCACTTGCCGTGAAAAAATATGGACAATTTTTTTTTTAATATAAACAATTTTTATAATAGAACGAATACATTTGTATAATTCAATGTCAAAATGACTAACTGAATGTAATTTGTTAAAATATGCAGATAATGGTTAAATATTATGTCGATATAGTCCTCACAAAAAACATCAATTTAGTATAAAAAAAAATTATTAATTTTTTTGACGCTAGATGGCGTTATGTCGTTTACTAGTGTCATTGTGTAGTGCGTCTCTAATCAACTTCATTGTATTAACAATGGATCAAACGTATTCCAATTCAAATGCGCAGTTCAGATAAAAGGACTACAGAAAATTGAATAACAAGGGCATTTAACTATTCGACTACCGGTCAATTGACTAGTGTAGACAAAACATTAAGGTTTTTTATATCGGTTAAACGCTCATGCGATATTTGAAACTTATTAAGAACCCTTCCCAGCATTTTCTTATAAGGAAGAAAAGTGGAGACGGCGCATAGGAAGGGGAAATATCTTGCTTATCATCGTCTCCTCCGTCAACTAAGGGTAGGCAACGCATTTGCAATCGTGGATGTCTTTGAGGTCGTTTCGTTTTTGCGATGAATTCAGATGGCCTTTGCTCGTTTGCCACCTTATGAAAATGCAGAACGGCTTAACTCACGTATGGTCGTAATTAGGCTATGTTTTTGTTAAGAATAAATTTTAATTAAAAGATAAGACAATGTTTGTTACTTGTGTCCACGTGACATATTAAAAGTTGTAAACACTCCACATGTGTTTAAATTATTTGACAACATTTATTGGCATTTTATGGGTTTCCCTTGACTTTATTTTATAAATCATGGTTTAGTTGAGCAATGTTTATGATGGATGGATACCAGTGTTGCGACATCATTTTTGATGGAACAACGAAACAAATATTGACTAGTTAGATTAGTGTTTACATCATTTTATATAACAGCGTATTTTTATAGATTGAGCTGGATTCAAACCCACGACAATTTGATTAGCAAAAGTAACCTTTAGGTTACTGGCAATTCAACTTCTTTTTATTTGCATGTTTTCCTAGTTCTGTGGAGTTGTTTTGATCTTATTATTGTAACTGAGTATTATTACTTAGAATAATCTTGTTTTTTACCATTTTGACATTTTGCCTGTTTAGTGCATAATTATTACTTTTTATTATATAATATACTTCAAGGTTAATTGCTAGCAAATGATGCGCTTTACGTCTCATATAATTAAAGTAACCATTTCCGTATTACACGTGTATAGAAAACTAAACCAACTTAATCAACACTTAAGGCCTCTCTATGACCACTTAACTGAGTGAGGATTTCTCTTATATACGGTATCGTACAATATATGCTTAATTTACATTAATACACAGTAAAACTTTAATTATGAAAAAAATGGTAAAAATCTCATTCTGAATGCAAAATAAAATCGTATTTTTTATTTCTTTATAAGTCCGAAATGTGCTTTTTATACCGGATAAGCCGGAGGTAACACAGGTCTAAAATTTAAAGAATAATAATTAAAAAACCCTGACGTAACTGTGCAGATTCTAAACACGATAAAAAGTGCTATTACTTTACTAAAAGCGTTTTTCCCGAATTATGTTTACGTGATAATTGCAACGTCATGTTCCATTGTTGAAAGACTTGTGCCGGCGTTGGGGTACAGTGCGGTTGGGCGACGGCCCCGGGCTGGACAGAAAGGAACGCCACAAATCTGCGAATAGACTCACAAAAGCCTGTTATACCTAAAGCTAGTAAACTGGGGGTGCTGTATTTAAGCCGAGGGCTGTACTGGAATTGTACAGAGAATATGGAGAGATTCCCAATTTACATACATTTAATCTTGCTTAGTCTTTACGATGGCATACATGTTCATACATACACGTTCATACAGACTGCGGATACTCTTTTAAAATATCCATGCATTTGACAAAGGACCGGATAGACCGATATAGGTCATTTTTAAATAAGCATAATTTCATGGTAAATATCGTGACTGCTTCTCGACCAAAAGAACTGACATTAAACAATAAAACAGCGATTGGCGTGAAATCTTCCGCGGCGTGACGTCACATTTGTTTTTTTTATTGGAGGCCTGCGCGTGCGCAGACGGTTCATCTCGTGTTGCAGTGTCGTGTGTCAGTCGGTGCGCAAAGGCCGAGGGTCGTGGACGCGTACAACCTTTTTTAACTAAATGTTACGCGAGTTTTGTATTTAAAATATTATTGAAAATTATATTATTGTGAACTGTGAAGTGAAAACAGGCGCCTTTCAAAAGAAGTTTATTGTTGTAAGTTTAAATAAAGATTGTTATAATTGAAAACTACCCTATAGTTAGTCTTAAACAATGTTATATGTTCATAAATATTTTTAATTTTACATGGTATTACGAAAATACATGTATTTCATAGTTTTAGATAAAAGATACAGAGTTATACATATCAAAAAATAAAAAATAAAAACAATGACTATTCTTGTTAATATTAACAATAATTCTAAATAATCCGGTTTCTAAGTATTACAATAATATTTAAATATGAAAATGTATTTCTAACATTCTCTGAGAGCTTCGTCTATTACTCTTTAACTGTTTAGATTTAGAATGATTTATCTACTTTGTAGTTACAACAAAAAGCTTTTCAGAAGCTTTTCAACATTTTGTAATAAAATTTTCCTTACAGATTTTTAAACCTTATCCAATAAATCTAATAGGTTTTAGATAACGGAATATCGATAATTAAGTATTAGTAATCCCCTAATATTAATTACATAAGCCCTTAAAGGTAACGCTAGGAGGTAACGTCTAGGAGGCGAGGAGGCCGAGGCCTAGGAGGAAACTTTTGAGGTGAGGCTACTAGGTGTAGGGGATTATTCATGTTATTTTTTATGTTTAAAATACAAGTGAAGTCGGAATTTTATCGTTTGTATAAACAACAGTGTTAAAATAAATACGCATCTATCACCTGATAACCAAATTTGTAATTTCTTTAAATTATTGATTTTTTCAGCGAAGTCGTATCGTAAAAAATGAGACGTATAATGTGATTATTTTTTTTATGTTTACTTGTTTACATAATATCGTTGAAGTCTTTTAAACGAGCATAGTGTAGCTCTGAATGGTTTATTTTATTTACTTTTGTACATAACTTTATATATTATGTAATAAAACTTTGCATAATCATGAATATGCCCATATTATGTTTCATATTATGATAAAAAAGTAGTGTAACAAACTAATGTATAATGTTTTGTATTTATGTTATTCAATCATTTTGATCTTATGAATCATGTAAACAAAATATTATAAGTTAAACTTTGTTGAGATAACATTAATAAATCTAAAGAAAGTAAAATATTATTTAAAAAGTGCGTGTAATGTGTTTTAATAACATTTGTGTTGTACATCATACTTTATAAGATGGTCTCTTATTTGTACAGTCAGCTTCACAGATCATCATCAACTTACTGTTCTTCCATACATCTCTATCAGCTGTCATATCTGAACCCACCTTCTTAAGCATATCCTCTTCCAAACAATCCATACTTTCTTCGGTCTTCCTCTACCTTTGTAGCCATCCAACATTCAATCTTAACACTTTCAGTTTTATAGATACGTACACATTTACAAAAAAAAATATGTAAGCACTAGATTTCGCCCCCGACTCCGTCCGGATGGATTTGAAAACAAACAAAATCATACCTTATGTGTTATTCTATACTATGCTTTACATGTTTGCCAAATTTCATCGAGAACCGTTCAGCAGTTTAGATGGCAAACTAACAGACAAGTATCTAAACTTTCGCATTTATAACATTACTAAGTAAGAATTAAGATGTGTCAGTCTTTACGCTTCCTACCATAAACACATGTTATTGTTATTAATTAAATTTTTATGGAAATCTAATAATTCGTTTTACAATGTTGGTTCAATAACATATAATAAATGGTATTTCGGTACAGCTGAACAAATTCTACAATACTCTTCAAAATCCTTGATTCATTTTGCAGAAAACTTACTTTTGCTTGTCTCGATGTTTTAATTTATAATAAGTAATGCTTTTTTGCTTACATTTACAAATAAATTGGGTTTAATAATTTTTTTGTAACTTTGTAATTATTTCACACGCTTCTTAAACTTATGAAACATAATTATATATTTTTAAATAATTACTAACTTAATTATTTCCAATTAATAAGATACATGATTAATATAATAACATTGTAAGATAAATAAAATTAGTAATTGTTAATTCATCACTAATAAGGAAGACTCTTTGATATTTAATATTCTCGCGATTTCGTTCGCTTGAAAGAAAAAATATAGCCTATGTAACTAATTGGTAACGCAGCTTTTTGATGGTGTAAGAATTTTTGAAATCGGCCAAATAATTTCTGACTTATTTCAATAAATACAAAAATCTTTCCTCTTTATAATATTAGTATAAATGTAGTTATAACCTTAATGGACAATTAATGCAATAATTAAATTTTTATGTGTTGAGCAAACTTGTTTAACCGCGCTACATCAAGATCTACCTAGAATAAGCCCTTAGTAAAGGACAGAAATACCTAATTCTAGTTTTAAATTAAGTGTACTAAAATGCGTGACGTTTATTGGGTCTTGGAATTAGCTATTTTACCTATCTGTTACCTTAAGTGTCACATTTCTTTGGTTAAGGAAGTATAAAAAGTCTCTCAGTGGTTTTCCTCAATGAACTATATTAATTGCCTCATGTTTCTATTATCTTATTATTCAATAAGGTGTTATAAATAAGGTTCTATTATTACATTGATATTTTATTACTATAAATGCGAATGGTTTAATTGCTTGGTAATTTTAAAGATTTTTTTTATAACATAAGGTGGCAAACGAGTAGGCGGCCACCTGAATCCACCGAAATAGCAAGCGACCGCTGCCTATAAAAATCCGCAAATGCAGATGCATACCTTTAATTAACGGAGGAGGAGACGCACATAAAGTGGACATTTTTCCTTCCTATGCGTCTCCTCCACCGTCAAATGCACATTTCCTTCCCATCCTTTCCTCTTAAAAAAAGCGTTTAAAATTAGGCCTCGGATTTGAGAATTTATTCCAGTGTGTTTTGATAATGCACCATTTTGGCGGGAATCTAGACTGAATATCGAAGTGAATTATGATCTTTACAAATTATTTAGTCTAAAACTAAGGATTGTTTTTAGGATAAAGAGGAACTCGATTCTTAGCTGGTCTTTTGGGATATAACTCATATCAAATCAATATTTGTTTAAAGTGAATTTAGTTGAAGTATTTGTTTAGGTCGTATAATCCGTGTAAGGCAGCGCTGAGGCAATGCACTTGATACAATCTCCACCGCAATAAGTCTTACCGAAGCTGTGTATAGCATTTACATATAATGGATCACAAAGTCTAGTGATTGTACTACCTGGATAGTTTTAGTTACAAGGTCCGATCCCAGCTAAAATAAAAATTCTGTCTTTAAAATAGTCCCTTTAACATTTTTGTCTACTAAACCTATTAAAAGCCTTATTAAAAATTTGAAGGTAATAGATCTGTTAAATATAACTATATCAAAACTTTTTACAATAGTCGAAGTACATGTAATCATAATATGGATGTGATCTTTGTATGATCTATACTATTATAATAAAGCGTAAACACACACTTCTTTGTTACCTAAGATGTCAGCATATTTTTGATATTTTTTTATTAAAATCCCTACACTTGCATCACGCTTTAGGCTATATATTTTCACGCTATTAAACTTAAGCGGTAATTTGGATAAAATCCCTAATGTGGGAAAAAGACCATAAGTTGCTGCCAACGTCAAGGAAGCAAGGTTGCCATGGTTTGTCATGTAATGTCATTTTGACATTTGCTTTGATAATTTGACAAATGTAAGCAATGAAATAAAATTTTTGATAATTCCATGCGGATGAAGCCGCACTTGAACAGCAAGTTAGAAATAATTTACCATGAAGAAAGATGACCGATATAATAGCTCAATGCATCAATTACAGTAAGTCGGTAACCACCGCATCCATAATGTCCTCACGAGTAATTGCGGCGATTACTAAACCGTATTAACTAACAGCAAATGCAGTTTGATTGAAGAAAATTGATACTTCGCGGAAAAAAATACTACGGAAAATTATTCAGAATGTATTCCGGAAAAGGAACGTAAGACTACAATTTCTTTGGTCGAAAATATGACGATAGCTGTTGTTCGCGACTTCGTCTACATTGAATTAAAAAAATAAGAAATGTAGCCTATGTTACTCAGAGATAGTAGCATTTTAACAGTGGAAGAATTGCTGAAAATCTTACGGTTTTATAATATTAGTATAGAAGTATAGATAAACTAACTTACCTCTACTCCAAGTTGCTTTGTTTAAGTACTTGAGCTTTTTGGATTATCCATATTTTTTTAATTTGAATTTAATTTAGACACTGAGCTATCAACCTTTTTAAACTTTTAATAAAAAAAATTTACGGAACCTCGTCTTTCATAATAAACATGCAAGTGTGAGGATAGACTGTAAGAACACATAGTGTTAAGTACACAATGTGTTCATTTTTTTTATTCCACGCGGACGGAGTCGTGGGCGAAAGCTAGTATTATTAATAGCAACAGATTAATAGAATAAGTTGCCATAACTTGTAATAATAATCTTATAAGTACTTAATAAAACTTGTATTAATAATAAAATGTTCACACAATACTAATATCTCATTACTTATCGCGCAAATAACTTTGACCTTATGTTGAATTTATATCTTATAATATTTTAATTAATTTGTTTCCGACGTTTTTCCGCAAATTACAGCAAAGATTTTACTAACATAAAATTAATCTAAGGTAATAATTACATAACTTGTTTTAAATGTAACTTTTCAAGTAATTTCTTTAAATATATTTAACTAGCTTTCTGTAACTCCGTCCGCGTGGAATTAACAATAAACAAGAGGAAGTAGCCTATATGTTCTTCCAGACTGTCCTCTACGTCATCATCAACGTCCACTTACCCTTATCCCTTACGAAGGGTCGCCACAGTATGTGCTACTTTTCCATACATCTCTATCAGTCACCATATGTAAATCCACTCCTTTCTTAAGCATATCCTCTGTCACACAATCCATCCATACTTTCTTCGGTCTTTCTTTAACCGCTGTAGCCATCCACATTCATTCTTAACACTAACTTAGACTGTCCTCTACGTTCATATCAGATTTTATCCAGATCCGTTCAGCTGTTTATGCTACATCCATCCATCCATCTAAACTTTCGCGT